AGTGGTTTGCCCGGCTCAGGAGGCGTGCTTCTGGAGCTGGAGGTTCTTCGGCTGCTGAGGGTGCTGGTGCCACGGGTCCTGGAGGTGTTCGTAGTGGGAGTACTGGAGCTGCTGGGCCTGCGGGTACTACTGAAGCTGGGGCCACTGCGTCTTCTCGTGGTCCGACTGGAGCTGGAGCTGCTGAGGGTGTTGGCGCTGGCGCTACTGGAGGCGGTCCTGCTGGGGGTACTACAGGTCTTGCTAGAGGTCCTGGAGCTACTCGAGCTGCTAGGGGTACTTGAGCTGGAGGTACTGCTGGCGCTGGTGCTACCGCTGGGGGTGCTGGAGCTATCCCTGCTGTGTCTGGAGTCGCTGCGCGGCCTCGGCCGTACTTCGTTCCGCTCCTTGAGCAAGTTCTTGGACTCCCGCCTTCTACTGGTCCTCCTCCTCCCTTAGAGTGTCCACAGCCTTTCCCGTCACAGTTACAGTTACAGCCGGCCTCCCCACTACCTGCTGCTTCTCCCTACACTGGTCCTACTGGAGGTCTTGCTGAGCGTCGTGAGCCTGCGTCTCGTCCTGCGTCGCCTATCCGTGCTGCTCGCGCTAGTGGTCGTGATTCGCGTCCGCGTCCTCCCCCTGTGCCCGGCACGCACCGGATGTCTCTCCGTCCGTCCACTGCTCCTCTGCGTGCCCCTTTGCCTTCTCCTCCAGAGTCCTCTCTTCCTGCTCTTGCTGACCCAGAGTCTGACTCTCTTCGTGCTGCCAGTCCGACTTTCACGCGTCTCCTTGCTACTGTTGTCACTTACCCTTCCTTTGAGTCCACTGCTGCGTCTGCCCTAGTTGCTGAGCTCGTCGACTTTGCTGCTCGCTGTCGTTTAGACTACGCTGCTGGTCTTGTTGCTGCGTCTGAGTTTGTCTGTCCTCCGTCCGTCGGGGGTGAGTGTGCCCTTGGCACGGACGTCCTTAAGGACAGGCAGGAGGAGTTCCAGTATTTGACTGCTGCTTCACCTCATCTCGTGTCCGTACTGCTTACCCCTGAGGGAGACCCAGATGCACTTGACATCCCGACTCCGCGCTCTTACGCGGAGGCGATAGAGGGTCCCTACTCCTCTCAGTGGCAGGCAGCTATGGACGCAGAGATGGCTTCTTGAAAGTCCACAGGCACCTACGTTGACGAGGTTCCCCCGCCTGGGGCGAACATCGTCAGTGGCATGTGGATTTTCAGGGTGAAGCGGCCGCCGGGTTCTCCGCCTGTCTTCAAGGCTCGTTACGTGGCTCGTGGCTTCAGTCAGCAGCAGGGAGTTGACTACTTTCAGACCTTCTCTCCCACCCCGAAGATGACCACTCTTCGGGTACTGCTGCACATAGCTGCTCACCGTGACTACGAGCTACACTCTCTTCACTTCAGCACTGCTTTCTTGCAGGGCAGCCTGCACGAGGAGATCTGGCTACGCCGCCCACTTGGCTTCACTGGGACTTTTCCTCGTGGCACCCAGTGGAGCCTCCGGCGGCCAGTCTACGGTCTCCGCCAGGCACCGCGTGAGTGGCAGGACACACTGAGGACTACGCTTGCGGCTCTTGGGTTTGCTCCCTCTACTGCCAACCCGTCGCTGTTTCTGCGCACCGACACTTCTTTGCCGCCATTCTACATCCTCGTGTACGTTGACGACTTGGTCTTTGCCACAGCTGACACTGCTGGACTCGCCCACGTGAAGTCCGAGCTGCAGAAGAGACACACGTGCACTGACCTGGGTGAACTGCGCAGCTACCTTGGCTTGGAGATCACCCGGGACAGAGCACGCCGCACCATTACCCTGACTCAGTCACACATGGTGCAGCAGGTCCTTCAGCGCTTCGGCTTCATGTACTCCTCGCCTCAGGCCACTCCTCTGTCTACTCGCCACTCGCTCTCAGCTCTGCCTTTAGATGAGTCCGTAGAGTCGAGTGGCCCGTACCCAGAGCTTGTTGGCTGCCTCATGTACCTGATGACCTGCACACGACCTGACCTTGCATACCCTCTTAGCATTCTCGCACGCTATGTTGCTCCTAGGAGACACAGACCGGAGCACATGGCTGCAGCGAAGAGGGTGTTGCGCTACTTGTGCAGTACGTCGGGCATGGGGCTTGTGCTTGGAGGGCAGAGTCTAGTGGTCCTCACTGTGCACGCAGACGCTTCTTGGGCTGACGACCAGGCTACGCAGTGGTCGTCACAGGGTTACACCTTCAGCCTTGGTTCCGGCTGTGTTTCGTGGCGGGCTACCCGCTCATCTTCTGTTCTCGGCTCTAGTTGTGAGGCTGAGATTTACGCAGGGGCCATGGCTGCACAAGAGCTTTGCTGGCTCACCTATCTGCTGACTGACCTCGGAGAGCCGCCTCGTTCTCCTCCAGTGTTGTACATAGACAACAAGGCCATGCTGGCCTTGTGTTGGGAGCAGAGACTGGAGCTCAGAACGAAGCAGATTGCTCTTCGCTACTTCCTTGCTCGTGAGCTGCAGCAGCGTGGTCAGCTGCGCCTTGCGTACGTGGCCTGTCAGGCCAACACTGCTGATATCTTCACCAAGGCACTTGCGCCTTGTGATCATCAGCGCTTCTGTACTCAGCTCGGTCTTGTGCCTACCTTGCCTCACTTGCTCACCCCTTGACCTTGTTTGTACTGTTACACATATATATACACCTGCTCTTGCTTGTTTAGCCTTATATATATATATATATATGTAATCCTGCATGTGAACTGGCCTTGTGGCCTTGAACTTGTGCTCGGAATGTGTGGTGACGTTGTGATCCACCCTGAGCTTGCTTTGCTTTGCTTGACTGGTCTTGTGACTCCTTGTTCTCTCCCACTTTGCCTATGGGGGTGTGTTAGATTTATATGACTTAGCTGCTGTAGGCTATAGTGGGGTAGCACATATGGGGTACAACTTTCTAGGGTTTGTACTTGTACCCAACTTTCCCTTAGTCTTTTTCATTCTCGTTCAATTTCACACTTCTACCATCAAGATTAATAGTGCTGGAGAAGCTAAGAGGGCGGGTTAGACCTATAGCAATAGGCGAAGCAATATCTCGATTGGCGGCGTTACGAGAGATCTCGATTCCCATCGGCCAATTTTTCCTACCGGTCCAATTTGGGGTAGAGGTGTCTGGAGGAGCGGAAGGCGTCATACACACTGTTGACGGGAATAGGCTGTTGGCCCCCCCCTCGCTTCGGCGTCGCTGACTTCCTAGTCGGATGCACGGGTGGTGCAGCCGACTGTTTGGTAGGGCTCGACGTGTGCTGGTCGACGGGGCTGTCAACCTGCAAGCGACCGCTACAATGCCGCCGTTAATGGGAGTCGATGGTCTAATTCGACAGGGGGAGGTCAACGGTGTAGTTCGTCGACCTGCGTGGGACTTGCGGGCAGCTGTTGAGGACGGGAGCTCGACCGACTACAGCTGATCTTGCTAGTCAACGAACGAGCTGTCGACCAGGGTAGTTCGACGGGCGCGGTGGTCGATGAGGGGTTCATCGACCAGGGCGTGCACTGAGTGGTCGACCAGGTCGACCGGGTAACATGCTCGGCAAGTTCTGCGGAGGCACGCGAACGTCGTCAAGGTCGCGATGGCGAAGGCGACTTCGGGCTGGTATCTTGAAGTCAATGTGGCTAGTCAGGCGCAGACCATAGCCGACAGATCCTAAACTGTGCAAGTCGGGCCAACCATCTGCGCGCACCTGCAGGCGTATGCACTGCTGTCTTCGACAAGTGTAATGCTAGACCTTCAGCAGCGTTGACACGCCGTCGACCTACTGTGTTGGCATGACGCAGTTATGCAGTGTTTGCGCGGATCCTCTATGCAACGCTCGCAGGCGGTTGACCATGCTGTGCTGGCGGTTGACGAGCTGCTCTGCTAGGCTGCTAGGCTGATGTAATTATTATTGTTATTGTGATTGCTATTATTCTGTTATGCAACTTTCCCTAGTTAAGCTCTTGCCAAATTGTTATATGGACGCACCAGTGCTAGAGAACGCTAAGGAAGCTATGTTCGCTCCTAGAGCTCCTACCAACCCCCCGTAGTCTAGCTCATGACCGTTGTAGACTTTTTCTCCACATGGTACGGTGAACGTGGACAACCCCGCAGATAACCTTCAAATATAGAGGACACGTTGGAGGCTCGATTGGCTGATGCGAGGAGACGCCACAAGACTGGCGAGTACGGGCCGAACCTCCCTTTGGAGGTCGTCGAGCTGGGCATCCGTGCACAGTGGGCGACGGATCACCCTTTCCGGTGCAAAATGAAGGAGCTGCCGTTAAGGAGGTCGACAGCGGTGCACGAGTCAGCGGCAGAGAGGGCACGGAGAAGAGAGGTGTGATCAAGGTCGACGATGGCGTCGACGGGAGCTAGGCGCGAGTGCAGCGGTCAACAGCGGCTGCAAGCAGCTCGCGTGTCGACGTCGATTGTCGATGGCATTGAGAGGCCCACATCGACGACGCATGTGTCGGCTGGCGGAATTGCTCCGGTGTATGGCTACTTCAAGTTCACGCCGCACAAAGTCACCACAACGCCGCTGAAAGGTCGACGGGACCTCATCACATGGAAGGAGGCTATTGAGCCTTGGCTCGAGGTCGTCGGGCTAAAGGGCTTCACCGGCTGCACCGTGCCAATACCGCATGAGGATGAGGTTGAGCTGCGCAGGGAGTTTTGTGCCGCTCACCTGCTCACCTTCATGGTCATCTCGAGGTGGTGCTCGCCGATGGTGCAGATTGCGCTGAAGCCAAACACATGCGGTCACCACATGGTAGAGCTAAATCTTCCTCAACCCTGACCATCTCTCCTTCGAGTGCCCCAACCGCAACAGTGACGAGGACGACAACAAGGGAGGCTGCGGACGATCGGCTAGTCGTCCACCTCGTTGAGACGAGAAGCCGCGCAAGAAGAAGCAGACATCACATCGGCAAGGGCCGAGGTGACGAGGAGGCGTCGTGCTTGATGGTCGGCGTGGTGGAGCTGATGGTCTTGCTGGTGCCGAGGCGGGTGAGGACGTCGAGATGGTGGTAGCGGCTGTGCAGGCAATCCCGATGGCGGTGCTGCTCAATTTTTGTTGCTCCCACCACCTGACGGGGACAAAGGAGGTCTTCGTTGACATGGCGAGTGGCGGTGTGAAGCACGCGTGCGGATTCAATGGGGTGTTGCAGTCCATCGAGGGTCGCGGAACCGTTGCTCTGCAAGGGGAGGCCGGGCAGCGAATCCTCATCCCTGACATGCTCTACGTTCCGGGCGTGTGGGCGAACTTGCTGTCAGCGGGCCAGCTGAATGACATGGGCGTAAAGCTGCAGGGTGACGGCGACAAGATGCTGCTCATCGCCACAACCTGGGAGGTGCTCGGTCGAGCCCGCTACATCGGCCGCGTTTTCTGCACCGACCTCAGTCATTGCTCGACAATGTCGCTGTCAAAGTCGACCAAGGTGGTGGCTCTACGGACGATTGCTTCAGCGACGAAGTCGACCCCCGACCGGTGGCAGGCGAGGCTCGCTCACGTTGGCGTTGACTCGATCCAAAGCTCGGCAAAGCATGACATCGCCACTGGAGTCGACATCAAGCCGTCGACCAGACCTAACCTGCCGTGTGTCTCGTGCGTTGGAGGGAAGCTAGCGCGGCACACCTTCCCTGACGAAGGCTCGGACGCCGAGGAGGCTTTAGCTGTCGTGCACAGTGACTTGTGCAGGCCAATCCGGGTGGCTGCCAAGGACGGCAGCTTCTATTTTCTGCTGTTGAAGGACCGCCACACTTGATACGTGTGGGTGAAGCCGGTCGCTAAGAAGAGCGACGTGCTGCGAGAGTTCGAGAAGTGGTTGCTGTTGATGGAGCGGCACACGAAGAAGTCGGTGCTAATGCTCTGCTAAGACCAGGGAGGGGAGTTTCTCGGGAAGAGTTTACCAACTTTGTCGATAGGAATGGCAGCGTCCACGACCTGACATGCCCCTACACTCTGCAGCAGAACAGCATGGTAGAGCGGGAGATGCAGACGGTGGTCGAGTAGGTGCGGCCGATGCTATTGCACATAGGCGTGCAGCACCACTGGTGGCACGTCGCCCTCCGACAAGCTGTCTAGGTGCGCAATAGCTTGGAGCGGTAAACGTCGCCGCCGGGGACGACTCCGTACCAGCTGCTGACCAGCAAGAAGCCCGACCTCATGTTGGCGCAGGTGTGGGGCTGCATGGTGCAGTTCATGGTCTCCGAGCTGCAACGCGGTGGGAAGCTGGTACCGAAGGCTCGCTGGGGGCATCACCTGGGGGTGTCGCCGGAGAGCAAGGGTTGGGAGGTGCTCGTCTTGACCGACAACAAGGTGGTCATGTTGGTCGACTTTACGAGACACTGTCGCTAGAGGTGTGGAAGGCGAAGTATGGGCCGGTGTCGGGGCGGACGCAGGCACACCCACCGATGGACACCTCGGCAGCAATGTTCTTTTCACTGTCCGAGGTCGACGAGCCTACTGATGAGGGTGTCGAGGAAGTCCTCCCTCCACCCCCAGTTCTTGCTCCTCCCACCCCCGTCACAGATCGTCCTACATCGACACTTGTGTTGGCCACTGGCGATGAGGAGAGCCTTAAGGCGTCACCTGTGGCGCCGGCCAGTGGCATCGACGGCGGCCGACGAGATGCCAAGCTCATCGAGCCGTCTACGACAGAGAAGCAGGAGACAGAGGAGCTGGTGCAGATAAGGCAGCGGCAGAGGTTCAGTCGACAGTGGAGCAGCAGACGGGGGAGTCGACAGGGAAGATGTTGGCGAAAGAGAAGTTAGTAGATGGGCCGACGAGAGGGGAGCAGCTGGGCGACAGGCCAACGCTGGTCGACGACGACGAGAATGTCGACGATGAAGGGGAGATGTTGGCAGGAGAGGAGTCCACCGACAGCGATGTGGTGGAGGTGCCGATTGAGGAACCTAAGCTGCGATGCTCAGGTCGAACTCAGAAGCCATCGAAGCAGCTGATCTTCAACACCTGCTTGCCACCAGCTGCCTTCACTACGCTGCTCAACGACGCCGAGGCCGACGTTGATTTGCCGGAGCTCGATCCCGACATGCATGCTGACCCCGAGCATCGCTATGACATTGCGACGATGACGGTGAAGGAGGCGTTGGCGAGCTGGAAGGGCGAGGCGGTGAAGGCCGCCATGGACGAGGAGATTCGTAGCCTCATCAACAATGGCACGTGGGAGCTGGTCAAACGCCCGCTCGGGGTAAACATCATGAAGAACCTGTGGGTGCTGATGACCGTCGAGCGTGAGAAGGCAAGGTTGGACGTGAAGACCTTAACGAATGTGTTTGGTGCCGACTACGACGAGACGTACTCGCCCGTGAGCACCTACGTCAAACTGAGGATCTTCCTCAGCATCATCGCCGTCCTCGATCTCAACCTGATGCAGCTCGACATGAAGAATGCGTTCCTCAAGAGCAAGCTCGACCAGGTGCTGTACATGTATCAGCCAGACTACTACAACGGCGGGACCGGCCGGGTGTGCAAGTTGCTAAAGAGCCTATACGGGCTGAAGCATTAGCCGCTGCTATGGTTCAGGGCTCTCGACGAGGTGCTGCTGGGCGCTGGATGGAAAAAGAGCCAGGTCGACGAGGCGCTCCACTTCAAGGGTGACGACAACGGGGTGATCTGCAGGGTGCTGGTCTACGTCGATGAACTGCTCGCCGCCAGCAGCACTGAAAGAGCTGACGGAGCTACCGGAGGCCGCCTTCGAGCTACGCGAGATCTCGCAGGTAATGAAGTATCCTGGGCTGGAGATCGTGCACGATAGGCCGGCAAGGAAGCTGTTGCTGCACCAGCAGGGCTACAGTACATCAACAAGGAGCAGACCGGGCACATCCTGAAGACGCCGGTCTCTGTCGACGCCTACGCTGAGCTGACGTTCGACAACGAGGAGACCTAGGAGCGCGAGGAGGAGGAGTACTGGCAGAAGGTCGGCTCGCTGCAGTTTGCGGCGATGATGACGAGGCCAAACATCGCGTTCGCCTTCAGCAAGCTGGGTAGCGACGTCACGGTGAGGAGCGACCAGCACTGGCGCGAGGTCGACCGCTATCTCGCCTACCTCACCAATGTCACAATGTAAAAGTTAACTATGGAATGAAACATACAGCAAGATATATCCGGTGAACCACAACATTACCCTAGGTTAAGAATGTACATCTACACCAACATATATAGCTTGACACATCCCCATAGTCTAGCTGACGGTGGTTCTGTGAAAAGCAACACAAATCACAGGGTGGGTCTCAATGATATACACAGTGTGAGAGCAAGCAAGGGTCACAAGACCAGTCAGCAAGAAAAAGCAATGGGTGACAAGATTAGTTAACAAGAACACGACAAATCTCAGGGTAGAGCTCAAAGTCACCACACACTTCGAGAGCAAGCAAGAGGCCACAAGGCCAGTCACATGCAAGTATATAGCAAGTACAAGAGATGCAAGAGTACAAGACAAGCAGGACAAAGCATCTCTACGTAAGCAAGTAATGACGGGCAGGCGCAAGCCAAGCTGGGTGCAGAAACGCTGGAGGTCACAAGGCGGCAACGCCTTGGTGAATATATCTGCCGTGTTGGCCTTAGAGACTGTTATGTGATGCTATCATTCGCATTCACGTCTGTCTACCTCCAATCATATGTTCGTGCGTTGCGTGCGTCGTGTGAGCGTGTGCAAGAATTTTTGTTTGGTGTTGTTTGATTTTTCTGAGTATGTATGAATGTAATTTGGCTTGAGCAGATATCTGAGGTGACTCCTGTGCTCGAGAGCATTCCGACGAACCAAGGATCGCTTCAATCGGAGCACGAACAAGAAAGCTACGAACTGTTCAAGTTCGTATGCTTCTTATATTTGGTTACAGCAACTTTGCGAATTTGTGGGGTGACTCCATAAGGGGTATAATGTTATGTGATGCTATCATTTGCATTCACGTCTGTCTGGCTCCCATCATATGTTCGTGCATTGCATGCGTGGTGTGAGCGTGTGTAAGAATTTGTGTTTCGTGTGGTTTGGATTCTCTGAGTGTGTGTGTGAATGTTATTATGCTTGAGCATATATCTGAAATGCCTCTTCTGCTCGAGAGCTTTCCGACGAACCAAGAATCGCCGCGATCGGAGCAAGAGCGATAAAATTATGATCGTTCGAGTTTTTGATTGTGATGCGGCGACTATGGGAATTCGCGCCTTGACTCAATATGGGGTACAGGGGTTGGGAAATTCGTCCCATCACTGTAGATGATACAAACTGGTTGGGAGATGCCAAACCAGGTTGGCAAGTGTGGTCAACTTGGGGTGAGGTGGATTGTGGAGGTTGGGAAAATGACAAGGGTGCAAGTTGGGTACCTATAGAGAGGGAAATTGTGTGGCATGGGGTTTCCTTGGTTGGGGACTCTCTTGGGACCTTCCCTCTTGTCCTCGTCTTCCTTCTACCTGGTTCATTGCTACTCGAACTTTCTTGTATGAACTTGGGAGATAGTTGTTATTGAGTTAAGTCTCTATGGCAGCATACCCCCTAGTGCGCCAAAATTGATAACTCGAGATATACTCCATGTTTTGATACGATTCAAATTTGGAAAAATAGCCTTGGTTTAGGGCTACAACGTAATCGAGTTTAGAGGAACAGTGTGTTTTTCGTCGACGACGACGTTTTTGTCCAGGATTATAGACCAACGATTTTTTTAGATATTTCGGCTCCTAAGATTCCTAGACTCCGTCCTTAGTCTCTAACATATAGATCATTGGGGGTTGGGAAATTCGTCACCTTCACTGTAGTTGCTGCCAAATGGTTGGGAGAAGCCAAACTTGGTTGGCAAGTGTGGCTAAGTTGGGTGAGGTAAATTGTGGAGGTTGGGAAAATGACAAGGGTCAAAGTTGGGTTCCTATAGGGAGGGGAATTGTGTGGTACGAGGTTTCCTTGGTTGGGGACTCTCTTGGGACCTTCCCTCTCGTCCTCCTCATCCCCTCCTACCTGGTTTATTGGTACTCTAACTTTCTTGTGTGTCGTCTTGGAGAACAATTGTTATTCAGTTAAGTTTCTATGACAGCATACCCCCTAGTGCGCCGAAATTCATAATCCGAGTTATACTCCATGGTTTGATACGATTCAAATTGAGGAAGATAGCCATGCTCAAGGGCTACAACATATTTGAGTTTGAAAGAATTAAAACAGTGAAGTTTTTGTCGACAACGTTTCTTGTGACAACGTTTCTGTCCCCTAAATCTTCTAGACTCCGTCCTTACTCTCTAACAAGTGGTATCAGAGCAGATTAAGGACTTTGTGAAGAGTCTACTGAGTTGTGAAGACTCTCCTAGACTCACCATGGCCTGTGGGCATGCCTAAGTGGAGTTCTGGAGGTTGCATGTGAAACTATGCCAAAATATTAAGGGACTTCGTTGTGGACAGCAAAGGGGGAGCTAAAACCTGTGATTGGGAGAAGAGGAGATGAGTCAAGGAAGTGGAGATGCAGCTGAGAAGAGGATTGAGCCGCCACCATCCAAGATTGAGGCATTGGATAGCTCCAACTATGAGGAATGGAGCAGGCGGATGAGGGGTGCGTTCAAGCGCTACAAGCTGCTGAAAATTGCAATGGAAAGAACAGTGACGGGTCGGCAGACGACGGGAAAAAGTCAAGCGCTGCAATGGTCGAGTGAAGTGTGTCGTGCCACTTACGTGGAGCGTGACACATGCTGTAGACTGGTCAACGCAGCTGTCACTGGGTCCCAGGTGGGAAAGAGCCAGTGAAGCCAGGCGGGCGACACAGCTAGATCTGCTCGTGCAGGCTCCCCTGAAGGAATGCGGCGAAGTCCAAGGAGTGGAATTCGTAATCGCGTTGGGCTGCAATATGCAGCAACACCCGAAGAGTATTCATCTTCGCGGTGGGAGCGAAGGTCTAGAAGAAGTCCACCCCCTCTTTCTAACTGAAGCCTCTCGCCACATAGCGCGCCTTGAACACTGGTGGTGATCTAGGCGGCCGCTTCACCTTGTAGAGCCATCGGCCACTGACGGCGTTCGTCCCAGGTGGTGGGATTCAGTACAAGGCCCAAGGTTCCGAGACCGTTTCAGCGTGAGTGCGAGGGATCCGGATGTCAATGCTGCAACGGAGATCGACGGGGCTCTGGAGACAGAGCGGGACTGAGGGGAGAACGACGAGTCCACTGGGACGAGGAAAGGGACTGGACGGGGGGAATAGGAGGGGACAGTAGGGGACCACGAACCAGGCGTGCAGGTGCTGGGTCGGGCAGGTCGCGCAGTCACAGTCGCTGCTGCTCCGCCTCCTCTCGCGTCTGCTGGGACGGTACCTGTCCCTGCTTCTGCTCCTGTGGCTCCTCCCCTGCCCTCTCCTGCTGCGGCTGCAGCTGCACCCTCTGCTGCGACCGGGACTCCTGCGTGACCCTCTTCTGCTGCGTCCGTGACTCCTCTTCTACTCTCTCTTGCTGTGTCTGCAACTGCACCTACTACCGCGGGCGGGAGTCCTGCTCTACCCTCTCCTGCTGCGACTGGGGCTCCTGCTCTACCCTCTCCAAGCGGGACTTCTCCTCTACTCTCTCCTGGTGTGTCTGCAATTGCACCTCCTGCTGTGGCTCCTCCTCTACTCTCTCCTGCCACTGCGAGTGAGAATGCTCCTGCTCTTGCTGCAGCTACGGCTGCTGCTGCTGCTGTGCCCTCAGGCTATACAACTTCATAGCGTTCTATTCATAGCTTCAAATGACCTGATTCAACTTGGATCTGGAATGTCTAAACGTCGCCTACGATAAGCAATTTAGATCGCACAATTTCACCAATTACTGACGACACACCGCTGGTTTTGAACGAACGGCACTATGGCAGCCACTATAGTCTTAGAACACAAGGTAGGGAGAGTTACGAGTTGGGAATGACTCCCAGCTCCTACAAACCCCAAGAGCCGAGGTACAGTGATGTGGAACAGTGCCACACTGTCCCCAACCACGAAGGGTCTCGAAAGTACCCACCACAAGGGCCTACACCAACTGAAATGTTACACTACACAAAGTAATGTAACTATTCTTAATATCTTGAGGTGTACCCGTTTGGCGAGCTTCGAAATTACTTGAAGCTTGAAACCAAGGCTCGGGTTCTTCATCACAAACTCATCCTTGAGTTCTTGATGGGTCCGATGCACACACCTGCGACACGTCAAACGATCGACACAAGACAATATAGAAACCGCGCGAGACACACAAGCGACAAAATAGAAACTACGTGGGACACACAAAATGACCGCGTAACACGCGACTAGTGATAACTCACTATTGACTCGACACACACACACTCGACATCATGACCCATCATACATACACTATTATAGGCATGAAATATATATTATCTCATTCCCTCATTGTGAGAACATTATAGCTTATACATCTGTGTAGGCTGTAGTGGGGTAGCCCATAAGGGGTACAACCCAATTAGGGTTAGTACTTGTACCCACCTGTTAAATAGTTCATTCATTCTCGTTTCTCATCATGGTATAGAGCAGGTTCCCTAGTGGGAACGCTACCTAGGGCCCACCACGATACTTTTTATTTCTTGCTCAGAGCGCGCTTCACTCCTGCCAGAGTCGCGCTCTGTGTGCCCTCCCTACCTTCGAGCCGCCCTTAGTGGCCCCTCTCACGGCCCCTTTGGCCGCCCTTACGGCCCCTCGCGCCGCCCTTACGGCCCCTCGCGCCGCCCTCTACGGCCCCTCGCGCCGCCCTTACGGCCCCTTACGGCCCCTTAAGGCCCCTCGCGTCGCCCTTACGGCCCTCGCACGGCCCCTTTCGGCCCCTCGCGGCGCCCTTTCCGGCCCCTTACGGCCCCGTCTAGGCCCCTTGCGACCCCGCTACGGCCCCGTCTAGGCCCCTTACGGCCCCTCCGCGGCCCCGTCTAGGCCCCTTGTGGCCCCGCTACGGCCCCGTCTAGGCCCCTTACGGCCCCTCCGCGGCCTCGTCTAGGCCCCTTGCGGCCCCGCTACGGCCCCGTCTAGGCCCCTTACGGCCCCTCCGCGGCCCCGTCTAGGCCCCTTGCGGCCCCACTACGGCCCCGACTAGGCCCCTTACGGCCCCTCCGCGGCCCCTTCTAGGCCCCTTGCGGCCCCGTCGCCGCCACGTGCGGCCCCGTCGCCGCCACCAGCGGCCCTGTTGCCACCACCTGCGGCCCCGTTGCCGCCACATGCGGCAACGCAGCCGCCACATGCGGCCTCGCCGCCACCTACGGCCCCCTCACCGTCACCTGCGGCCCCGTCGCCCTCCCCTAGCGGCCGTGTCACCGCTCAGCCGCCCAGCGACCAAGCCGCCGAGCAGCCCAGCAGCCGAGCCGCCCTGCCGCCGAGCCGCCCAGCAGCCGAGCCGCCCTGCCGCCGAGCCGCCCAGCAGCCGAGCCGCCCAGCAGCCGAGCCGCCCTGCCGCCGAGCCGCGGAGCCGCCCTACTGTCGAGCCGCTACTGTTCCTACCGGTGCTCCCCGGCCCTCCTTCCTCGGACTAGTGAGCTCACTTCCTGCTAGGCCACTGCAGTCATGGCTACCCCCAGTGTCCTTACTTTTGATGCTGAGGGCCGTGCCGTTGACTTTGAGGTCAGGGTCGATGACCTCCAGCTGTTTCTCTAGTACAATAGGGCAAACAGACTCTCTCTGTTCGATCTAACCTCTGGTGTCTCTCCTGCCCCGCCTGCCACTGGTGACAGCACTCCACGCGCGATGCTGCTGCTCGCCTTGCTGTGCGCCGCCACTTACGGACCACTGAGCGTGCAAACTTTAGCCAGTACAAGAGTGCTCAGACCTTGTACAACGCTGTAGTTGCACGCTACTCTTCCCCTGCCACTGCTGCACTGAGCCGCCTCATGCTACCGTACCTCTTCCCTGACCTTGCTGCCTTTCCCACAGTCGCTGACCTCATGACGCACCTCCGCACTAGTGACACTCGCTACCGCGCCGCACTTCCTGCTGAGTTCTGCGCAAAGAACCCCCCCCCCCCCCCCCCCCATGTACATCACCCTCTACTACATAGTCACCCGGCTCCCTGACTCTCTCCGCGTAGTCAGGGACCACTTCCTCTCAGTTTGCCCCACCACTCTCACCGTTGACCTCCTCGAGAAGGCCCTCCCAGCAGCAAAGAAGAGTATAGTCGCTGTAGGAGCCTCTCGTGGTGACCCTCGCACCCCCGTCTTTGAGGGATGTTCTCCCTCCCCCCTCTTGCCCTCTGCTGCCTCTGCTGCTGCGGCCGACCTCGTTGGTTTTGAGTCGTTCGGCGGTGCGTCTGCCCCGAGCGGGAGACGCCGCAGCGGCAAGGGCAAGGGGGGCAAGGGCGCTGGAGGGGCTGGCGGGGGCGGTAGAGGTGGTGGTGGAGGCAGTGGAGGGAGTGGGGGTGGTGGTGGGAGTGGTGCCGGGGGTGGCGGCGGCGGCAGCAGTGGAGGCGGCGGAGGCGGCGGTGGTGGCGGAGGGAGCGGAGGCGGCGGAGGTGGCGGAGGAGGCGGAGGTGGAGGAGGCGGCGGAGGCGGCGGCAGCGGCGGCGGTGGTGGAGAGGGTCGCGACTCTGCGCAGAGGAGTGGCTCAGGTGGTGGTCCACGCCAGCAGCAGCGGAGTGGTGTGACCCTGTCCCCTCAGCAGCTTCGTGAGTGGTACACTGCGCGTCAGCGCGGTGGGGGTTTTGGTCCCTGCACTTACGTCCTCCGTACTGGCGACCGAGCTGGTGAGCAGTGCGGGGGCCCGCACTCCACCCAACGCTGCTTCGGTCGCCTGATGGACGCGTGGCGTCGCCAGTTCCCTGAGGCGTTAGAGATCCCTCGCTGGGGAGATTTGTCTAGGGCCGGGGTTGCCGTCTTTGATCTTGACTATGATGCTATCCTTGCTGCCATGTATTCTGTGACTACTAGTGTTGAGGGTGACTGTTCCCTGTGTGTACCGCCTGACCCGGGCATTGAGGCCACTGCTCTAGGTGCTGGTGAGGCTGCTGCTCTAGGTGCTAGTGCGTCTGCTGCCCCACGTGCCAGTGCGTATGCTGCCCCAGGTGCTGGTGAGTCTGCTCTCTCAGGTACTACGTCGGCTCAGGCCTTCCACACCTTCACCCTTGACTCGGGTGCGTCCCGCTCCTTCTTTCAAGACCGCTCAGTCGGCCGGTTGCAGTCTCCCTGGCAGACCCCTCTGGGGGTCCTGTCCTTGCTAGCTTCTCCACTGTCTTACCGTGCCCGGCAGCCCCCTCTGGCACCCTGTCAGGTCTCTACCTCCCCTCGTTCTCTACGAACTTGGTGAGTGGAGCGGACCTACAGGATAGGGGGGTTGACCAGTTCACTCCTGCGAGTCAGCGAGTGACCCACTGCACGTGTGCTCGGACAGGCCGACACTTGGCCATGTTCACCCGTCGGTCAAGGTCGAGCCTATACACCCTTACTACTGAGTCTCCTCCGGCTGCTGAGTTTGGCCAGGTAGCTGCGTCGAGTCAGGTGTTTGGTGCAGCGTCCAGGTCTGGTCCTGAGTCTGCTCCCTGCTCGTGTCGTCTCCTGTCCCACCAGACTCTCCTCTAGCACCACCGCCTTGGTCACCCCTCCCTGCCTCGTCTCCGAGGCATGGCCTCCCGTGTCCTTGTCTCTGGTCTCCCTCGGTCTCTCCCTCCCCTACCTCCGGGGCCTGGCCCTACCTGCGTCCCCTGCGTTGAGGGGCGACAGCGCGCCGCCCCTCACTCCTCCGAGTTTCCTCCGACAGAGGCTCCGCTACAGACCCTCCACATGGACGTGTGGGGCCCCGCCCGCGTCCGTGGACAGGGGCACGAGCGTTACTTCCTGTTGGTGGTTGATGACTACTCGCGTTACACCACAGTCTTCCCCTCGCGCAGCAAGGGTGACGTCATTGAGGTGTTGATCGACTGGACCCGCGCAGCTCGTCTCCAGCTCAGAGAGAGTTTCGGCTCGGACTTTCCTATTTTGCGTCTACACTCGGACAGAGGCGAGAAGTTTTCCTCTGCCCGTCTGGGAGCATTCTGTCGTGCACAGGGCATCCGCCAGACCTTCACGCTTCCGGCCTCTCCACAGCAAAATGAGATTGCTGAGCGCCGCATTGGCATGGTCATGGACGTCGCTCGTACGTCCATGATGCATGCGGCTGCCCCCCATTTTCTGTGGCCGTTTGCGGTTCAGTACGTCGCGCATCAGCTCAACCTTTTGCCCCGGGTCTCCTTGCCAGAGACCTCCCCCGCCTTGCGGTGGACGGGGAAGGTTGGCGATGCGTCTGCGTTTCGGGTCCGGGGATCTCGGGCGTTTGTCCACGACTTGTCTGCAGACAAGCTGTCCCCCCGTGCTGTTCCATGCGTCTTCCTTGGCTTCCCCCCTGACGCGCCTGGGTGGCAGTTTTATGACCCCACCTCGCGCCGTGTTCTGTCCTCCCAGGACGTCACCTTTGACGAGTCGGTGCCTTACTACCGTCTCTTCCCCTACCGCACTGCGCCCCTCCCCCCGCCGCCGCTCTTCCTTGCACCAGGTCCTCCCTCGGTAGACCCCCTCCCCCCTTAGGGTCCTGCCCGGTCCGTTGTGTCCCAGGTAGACGCAGTCGAGCCTGTCGATGTAGCTGTTGACTCTGCTGCTGCTAGAGGTGCTGAGGCTGCGGGTGCCGGGTCTGGGGGTGCTGAGCCTGGGGGTGCGGAGTCTGGGGGTGCTGAGACTGGGGGTGCTGAGTCTGGGGGTGCTGAGCCTAGGGGTGCTGAGTCTGGGGGTGCGGAGCCTGGGGGTGCGGAGCCTGGAGGTGCGGAGCCTGGGGGTGCCGAGCCTGGGGGCGCTCTGCTCGTGTGGCCGCCGGCGGTGCTTTGTCGAGGCGGGAGCAACTCTCTCCACCGGAGCTGCGCGAGTGGTTTGCCTGCCGCTGGAGACGTGCTCTGAGACTGGGGGTGCTCCTGGGGCTACTGGAGTTGGTCCTGCTGGAGCTACTGGCGGTGCTAGTGCTGTTGGAGCTAGAGCTGCTGGGGGTGTTGGCGCTGGTGTTTCTACTGGCGGTGGTGCGTCTGGGGATGCTTCTGAGGCTGCTGGAGCTGAGGGTCCTACTGGAGTTGGTGCTGCTGGAGCTGGAGCTGCTGGAGGTGTTGGCGCTGGCGGTGCTGCTAGCGCTGGTGCTTCTGAGGGTGCTGGAGTTGGCGTTGTTGGAGCTGGAGGTGCTGCTGGCGCTGGTACTGCCGCTGGGGGTAAAGGTGCTGTCCTTGCTGGCTCTGAAGGCGCTGAGCGGCCGAGGCCGTACTTCGTTCCGCTCCTGAAGCAGGTTCTTGGTCTCCCGCCATCTCCTGGTCCTGCTCGTTCCTTAGAGTGTCCACAGCCTGTCCAGTCGCAGTCACACTTACAGCCCGCCTCCTGTCTACCTGTTCCTTCTCCCTACACTGGTCCTACTAGAGGTCTTGCTGAGCGTCGTGCACCTGCGTCTCATCCTGCGTCGCCTATTCGTGCTGCTTGCACTAGTGGTCATACTGCGCGTCAGCGTCCTCCTTCGGTCCCCGGCACACACCAGATGGCGCTGCGTCCTTCCACTGCTCCTCTGCGTGTCCCTTTGCCGTCTCCTCCAGAGTCCTCTCTTCCTACTCTTGCTAACCCGGAGTCTTACTTCCTTCGTGCTGCTAGTCCTTCGGTCACGCGTCTCCTTGCTATAGTTGTCACTGACCCTTCTTCTGAGTCCACTGCTGCGTCTGCCCTAGTTGCTGAGCTTGTCGACTTCGCTGCTCGCTGTCGTCTAGGCTACGCAGCCAGTCTCGTTGCTGAGTCTGAGTCTGTCTGTCCTTCGTCCGTCGGGGGTGAGTGTGCTCTTAGCACGGACATCCTTGAGGACAGGCAGGAGGAGTTCCAGTGCTTTGGTGCTGCTTTGCCCCATCTCGTGTCCACGCTGATTGCCCCTGAGGGAGACCCGGATGCACCAGACATCCCGACTCCTCGATCGTATGCTGAGGCGATCGAGGGTCCCTACTCCTCTCAGTGGCAGTCAGCCATGGACGCAGAGATGGCTTCCTGGAAGTCCACAGGCACCTATGTCGACGAGGTTCCCCCACCTGGGGCGAACATCGTCAGTGGCATGTGGATTTTCAGGGTGAAGCGGCCGCCGGGTTCTCCGCCTATCTTCAAGGCGCGTTACGTGGCTCAAGGCTTCAGTCAGCAGCAGGGAGTTGACTACTTTCAGACCTTCTCTCCCACCCCGAAGATGACCACTCTTCGGGTGCTGCTGCACATAGCCGCTCAGCGCAACTACGAGCTTCACTCTCTTGACTTCAGCACAGCTTTCTTACAGGGCAGCCTGCACGAGGAGATCTGGCTGCGCCGTCCACTTGGCTTTACTGGGTCGTTTCCTCCTGGTACCCAGTGGAGCCTCCGGCGGCCAGTCTACGGTCTCCGCCAGGCGCCCCGTGAGTGGCACGACACACTGAGGACTACACTTGTGGCTCTTGGGTTTGCTCCTTCTACAGCCGACCCGTTGCTGTTTCTGCGCACTGACACCTCTTTGCCGCCGTTCTACATCCTCGTGTACGTCGACGACTTGGTCTTTGCCACTGCTGACACTGCTGGACTCGCCCACGTAAAGTCCGAGCTACAGAAGAGACACACGTGCACAGACCTGGGTGAACTGCGCAGCTACCTTGGCTTGCAGATCACCCGGGACAGAGCACAGCGCACCATTACCCTGACTCAGTCACACATGGTGCAGCAGGTCCTTCAGCGCTTCGGCTTCACGTACTCCTCGCCTCAGGCCACTCCTCTGTCTACTCGCCACTCGCTCTCAGCTCTGCCTTCGGATGAGTCCGTAGAGCCGAATGGTCCATACCCAGAGCTTGTTGGCTGCCTCATGTACCTGATGACCTACATACGACCTGACCTTGCATACCCTTTTAGCATCTTGGCACGCTATGTTGCTCCTGGGAGACACCAACCAGAGCACATGGCTGCAGCAAAGAGGGTGTTGCGCTACGTGTGCAGTACGTCGGGCATGGGGCTAGTGCTTGGAGGGCGACGTCGAGTGGTCCTCACAGGTCACGCTGACGCTTCTTGGGCTGACGACCAGGCTCTGCAGCGGTCGTAACAGGGTTACACCTTCAGCCTTGGCTCCGGCTCTGTTTCATGGCGGTCTACCCGCTCGTCTTCTGTTCTCAGCTCCAGCTATGAGGCTGGGATCTACGCAGGGGCCATGGCTGCACAGAAGCTACGCTGGCTCACCTCCTTGCTGACTGACGTAGGAGAGCCGCCTGGTTCTCCTCCAATTCTGTACGTAGACAACAAGGCCATGCTGGCCTTGTGTCGGGAGCACAGACTGGAGCACAGAACGAAGCACATTGCTCTCCGCTACTTCCTTGCTCGTGAGCTGCAGCAGTGTGGTCAGCTCCGCCTCACCTACGTGGCCTCTGAGGCCAACACTACTGATATCTTCACCAAGGCCCTTCCGCCTTGTGATCATCAGCGCTTCTGTACTTTGCTAGGTCTTGTGCCTACCTGGCCTTACTTGCTCACCTCTTGATCTTGTTTGTACTGTACTCTTCCTATACCTGCACTTGCTTGTTTACCTTTATATATATGATCTTGCATGTGAACTGGCCTTGTGGCCTTGCTCTTGTGCTCGGACTGTGTGGTGACTTTGTGATCCACCCTGAGCTTGCTTTGCTTTGCTTGACTGGTCTTGTGACCACTTGTTCTCCCCCACTTTGCCTATGGGGGTGTGTCAGAACATTATAGCTTATACATCTATGTAGGCTGTAGTGGGGTAGCCCATAAGGGGTACAACCCAATTAGGGTTAGTACTTGAACCCACCTGTTTCATAGTTCATTCATTCTCGTTTCTCATCACTCATACCATTCCATGCATACACGTAGGCACGCACACGGACAACAAGCCGAGTGCAAACCGTAGAGTTGCACCAACAGATTCAGCCACGCATGATTCAACTACGCATGATTCAGCCAGGCATGATTCAGCCAGGCATGATTCAGTCAAGCGGTGTTCAGCCAGGCATGGTTCAAACAGGCATGATTCAGCCTGGCATGATTCAGCCAGGCATGATTCAGCTTGGCATGATTCAGCCAGAAATGATTCAGCCAGGCATGGTTCAGCCAGACATGATTCAGCCTGGCATGATTCGGCCAGTAATAATTCAGCCACGCAGGATTCAGCTAGGTATGATTCAGCCAGGCATGATTCAGCAAGGCATGAATCAGCCAGGCATGATTCAGCCAGAAATGATTCAGCCAGGCATGATTCATCCAGGCATGATTCAGCCAAGCATAAATCAGGCATGCATGATTTAGACTGGCATGATTCAGACAGGCATTCTTCAGCCAGGCATGATTCAGCCAGGCATGATTCAGCCAAACATGATTCAGCCTGGCATGATTCAGCCAGGCATGATTCAGGCAGGCATGATTCAGCCTAGCATGATTCAGCCAAGCAGCTAGAGCCAGGCATGATTCAGCTAGGCATGATGCAACCAAGCATGATTTAGCCTGGCATGATTCAGACAGGCAGCCAGAGCTAGGCGTGATTCAGCCAAGCATGATTCAACCAGGCATGATTCAGCCTGGCATGATTCAGCCAGGCATGATTCATCCCGGCATGATTCAGCTAGGCATGATTCAGCCAGGCATGATACTACCAGACATGATTCAGCCACGTGAGATTCAGCCTGGCATGATTCAGCCAGAGCCATGCACGATTCAGCCGGGCATGATTCGGCCATGCATGATTCAGCAAGGCATGATTCAGCCAGAGCCAGGCATGATTCTGCCGGGCATGATTCCGCCAGGCATAACTCATCCATGCATGATTCAGCGAGGCATGATTCAGCCAGGTATGATTCAGCCAGGCATGATTCAGCCAAAATTGATTCAGCTAAGCATGATTCAGCCTGGCATGATTCAGCCTGGCATGACTCAGCCGGGCAAGATTTAGGCGGGCATGATCCAGTCACGCATGATTCATGCCTGGCTGAATCATTTCTTGCTGAATTATGCCTGGCTAGATGAATCAGGCATGACTCAGCCAGACATGATTCAGCTAGAAATGATTCAGCCAGGCAGGATTCAGCCAGACAGGATTCAGCCAGGCATGATTCAGCCAGGTATGATTCAGCCAGGCATGATTCAGCAAGGCATGATTCAGCCAGGCACGATTCAGCCAGAAATGATTCATCCAAGCATGATTCATCTAGGCATGATTCAGCCAAGCATAAATCAGCCATGCATGATTCAGCCTGGCATGATTCAGACAAGCATTATTCAGCCAGGCATGATTCAGCCAGGCATGATTCAGCCAAACATGATTCAGCCTGGCATGATTTAGCCAGGCATGATTCAGGCAGGCATGATTCAGCCTAGCCTGATTCAGCTAGGCAGCCAGAGCCAGGCATGATTCAACCAAGCATGATTCAACCAGGCATGATTCAGCCTTGCATGATTCAGCCAAGCATGATTCATCCAGGCATGATTCAGCCAGGCATGATTCAGAATGGCATGATTCAGCCGGGCATGATTCTGTCAGGCATGATTCAGCCACGCATGATTCAGCCAGGCATGATTCAGCCAGGCATGATTCAGCCAGGCGTAATTCAGCCTGGAATGATTCAGCCAGAGCCTGGCATGATTCAGCCGGGCATGATTCGGTCAGGCATGATTCAGCAAGGAATGATTCAGCCTGAGCCAGGCATGATTCAGCCAGAGCCAGGCATGATTCAGCCAGGCATGATTCAACCAGGCATGATTCAGCCTGGCATGATTCAGCCAGGCATGATTCATCCAGGCATGATTCAGCCAGGCATGATTCAGCTTGGCATGATTCAGCCGGGCATGATTCTGTCAGGCATGATTCAGCCAGGCATGATTCAGGCAGGCATGATTCAGGCAGGCATGATTCAGGCAGGCATGATTCAGGCAGGCATAATTCAGTCAGGCATGATTAAGCCAGGTATGATCAGCCAGGCATGATTCAGGTAGGAATGATTCAGGCAGGTTTGATTCGGCCAGGCAAGCAGGCATGATTCAGCCAGGCAGGCAGGCATGATTCAGCCATCCGGGCATGATTTAGCTAGACATGATTCAGCCAGGCATGTTCAGCCAGGCATGATTCAGCCAGACATGATTGAGCCAAGTATGATCAGTCAGGCATGATTCAGCCAGGCATGATCCAACCATTCATGATTCAGCCACGCATGATTCAGTCAGGCATGATTCAACCATGCATGATTCTGCTAGTGAGGTATGATTTAGCCAGGCATTATTTAAGCAAGAAAGTACACCAAAAGGCTGCGGAGATTACTTGTACAACGGGTTTTAGACTACGGGCTAGGCACGGGGCAAGAGTGATCTCTACGTTCGTTCACTTAGTTGTTTCCTTGTGCACACACTGCTTGCTAGGTCACGCGGAAAATTGGCAAGAGTTTCACTAGGCAAAGCATGACAACGATAGTGGGAACAACATTGGCATCACAGACTACATCAGAGCTAGCTAGGCTGCTGGTCGACCTCCAACGCAGCACGTTCGACCACGCTCCAACGCAACAGCGCTCGCACCGCTCTGTCAGAAGAATGAACAGGAATGAATAAACTAGCAGCAGGATGGGTACAAGTAGCAAACCCTAATCTAGGTTGTACCCCATATGGGCTACCCCACTACAGCCTACACAACACGCAGCACATAGTTTGACACACCCCCATAGGTAAAGTGGGGGAGAACAAGAGGTCACAAGACCAGTCAAGAAAGGCAAAGCAAGCTCAAGGTGGATCACGAAGTCACCACACATTCTGAGCACAAGCAAATGGCCACAAGGCCAGTTCACATGCTGAGTTATATATAAAGGAGAACAAGGAGTACACTGATCACAACCTAGCAAGTGTAAGCATGCAGGTACAAGTATATAGATCACAGTACAAGCAAAGTGAAGATGTGAGCAAGTGAGGCCAAGAAGGCACAAGGCTTACAACAGTACATAAACGCTAATGATCATAAGGCGGAAGTGCCTTGGTGAAGATATCAGTAGTGTTGGATTGAGAGGCCACGTAAGCAAGACAAAGCTGACCACGCTGCTGCAACTCTCGAGCAAGGAAGTAGTGCAAAGCTATGTGCTTCGTTCTGTGCTCCAGTCTGTGCTCCTGACACAAGGCAATCATGGCCTTGTTGTCGACGAACAGAACTGGAGGAGAACAAGGCGCCTCTCCCAAGTCGGTCAACAGATAGGTGAGCCAGCGTAACTCCCGTGCAGCCATGGCCCCTGCGTAGATCTCAGCCTCACAGCTGGAGCTGAGAACAGAAGATGAGCGGGTAGACCGCCACGAAATGGTTTCGGAGCCAAGGCTGAAGGTGTAACCCTGTGACGACCGCTGCGTAGCCAAGTCGTTAACCCACGAAGCGTCTGCGTGACTAGTGAGAACAACTCGACTCCGTCCTCCAAACACGAGCCCCATGCCCGACGTACTGCACAAGTAGCGTATAACCCTCTTAGCGGCGTTCCAATGCTCTGTTCGGTGTCTCCCGAGCGCAACGTAGCGTGCCAGGATGCTAAGAGGGTAAGCAAGGCCAGATCGAGTGCAGGTCATCAGGTACATGAGGCAGCCCACAAGCTCTGGATACGGGCGACTCGGCTCTACGGACTCATCCGAAGGCAGAGTTGAGAGCGAGTGACCCCTAGGCAGAGGAGTGGCCTGTGGCGAGGAGTACTGGAAGTCGAAGCGCTGAAGGACCTGCTGCACCATGTGTGACTGAGTCAAGGTAATGGTGCGCCGTACTTTGTCCCGGGTGATCTGCAAGCCAAGATAGTTAAGCAGCTCACCCAGGTCTATGCACGTATGTCTCTTCTACAGCTACGACTTCACTAGAGTCAGTGCCTCAGTGTAAGCAGTGGCAAAACCCAGGTCGGCGACATACACGAGGATGTAGAACGGTGGCAGAGAAGTGTCGGTGCGTAGAAACAGCGACGAGTCACCAGTAGAGGGGGCAAAGCCAAGTGCCGCAAGTGTTGTCCTCAGTGTGTCGTGCCACTCGCGAGGCGCCTGGGGGAGACTGTAGATTTGCCGCCGAAGGCTCCACCGGGTACGTGGAGGAAACGACCTAGTGAAGCCAGGTGGACGGCCAGCCAGATCTCCTCGTGCAGGCTGCCCTGTAGGAAAGCAGTGCTGAAGTCAAGAGAGTGCAGCTCGTAGTCATGCTGAGCAGCTACGTGCAGCAGAACCCAAAGAGTGGTCACCTTCGGGGTGGGGGAGAAGGTCTGGAAGAAGTCAACTCCCTCTCGCTGACTGAAGCCTCGTGCAACGTAACGCACCTTGAAGACAGGCGGAGAGCCCGGTGGCCGCTTCATCCTGAAAATCCACATGCCACTGACGATGTTCGCCCTAGGCGGGGGAACCTCGTCGACGTAGGTGCTTGTGGACTTCCAGGAGGCCATCTCTGCGTCCATGGCTGTCTGCCAGTGAGAGGAGTAGGGACCCTCTATCGCCTGTGCGTAAGAGCGCAGAGTCGGGATGTCTGGAGCATCTGGGTCTCCCTCAAGGGCAAGCAGCATGGACACGAGATGAGGTAAAGCAGCGGCAAAGCACTCAAACTCCTCCTGCGTATCCTCAAGGACGTCCGTGCCAAGAGCATACTCACCCCCAATGGACGGAGGACAGATAGACTCAGACTCAGACTCAGCAACAAGGCTAGCGGCATAGTCTACACGACACGCGGGAGCAAAGTCAATAAGCTCAGCAACTAGGGCAGACGCAGCAGTGGACTCAAAGGAAGGGTCAGTGACAACAGTGGCCAGGAGACGCGTAACAGTAGGACTAGCAGCACGAAGGGAGTCAGACTCCGTGTCCGGACCGTCAGCAAGGGAGGACGCAAGAGGAGACGGTAGAGGGACACGCAGTGGAACAGAGGGAGGACGAAGTGCCATCTGGTGTGTGCCGGGGACAGGAGGAGGACCCGGACGCGGAACACGACGAGTAGTGCGAGCAGCGCGAACAGACGACGCAGGACGAGACGCAGGCTCACGACGCTCAGCAAGGCCTCTGGTCGGCCCAGTGTAAGAAGAAGGACCAGGCATTGGGGAGGCTGGCTGTAACTGCGACTGTGATTGGTCAGGCGGTGGACACAGCAAGGGAGGAGTAGGACCAGTAGAAGGCGGGAGACCAAGAACCTGCTGAAGGAATGGAACAAAGTACGGCCGCGGCTGTGAAGCACCACAAGAACCAGCAGAGACAGCTCCAGCACCCCTAGCTCCAAGGTCTCCAGCTCTAACTCCTGCAGCACCACTAGCTCCAGCACTAGTAGCATCACCAGTAGGAACAACTCCAGCGCCTCCAGCTCCAACTCCTGCAGCACCACCAGCAAGACCAGCTCCAACACTACCTCCAGCAGCTCTTGCTCCAACTGCACCAGCACCTCCAGCAGCTTTAGTAGTAACTCCAGCCCCAGCACCTCTAGAACCCCCAGTACGAGCACCTCCGGGACTAGTGGCTCCAGCACCTCCAGGTGCTCCATCTCCAGCAGCACCACGACGGAGGCTCCAGCGCCGAGCAAACCACTCGCGTAGCTGTAGTGGAGAGGGAGACTCCGGCCGCGACAAGACACCCGAAGGGCCTCCAGGCTGAGCACACTCGGGCTCAGCACCCCCAGGCTCAGCACCTCCAGGCTCCGCACCTGAAGGCTCAGCACCCCCAGGCTCCGCACTCTCAGACTCACCACCCTCAGGCTCCACACCCTAAGGCTCAGCACACCCAGGCTCCGCACCCTCAGACTCCGCACCCCCAGTCTCCGCACGCTCAAGCTCAGCACCCCAAGGCCCCGCACCCGCAGGCTTAGCACCCCGAGACGCACCACCTCTAGCAGCACCAGAGTCGACAGCTACCTTGACAGGCTCGACAAGGTCTACCTGGGACACACCTGAGGGAGCAGGGCCCTGAGGGGGGAGGGGGTCTACCGAAGGAGGACCTGATGCTAGGAAGAGCGGCAGAGGAGGGAGAGGGGCAGTGTGGTAGGGGAAGAGACGGTAAATGGGAACTGACTTTTCAAACGCGACGTCCTAAGAGGGCAGGAGGGCGCGAGGTGGGGTGGTAAAACTGCCAGCCAGGCGCGTCAGGGACAAAGCCAAGGAAGACACTGGGAACGGCGCAGGAGGAGAGCTTGTCCGCGGACGTATCGCGGACAAAGGCTCGACATCCCCAGACCCGAAACACCGACGCATCGCCAACCTCCCCCGTCCAACGCAATGTGGGTGAGGTCTCTGACAAGTTTGTAGACAGAACCGCGGGACAGGGCAAAACAGTGGAGGAACGTGCAAGGACTGGGCCCCCAGAGGGGTCAGCAAAAGACACAGCAACTGGTGCAGCAATCAGTGTGACTGTGGTACTGTCGCGAAAGAAACAGCGGGAAGCACCTGAGTCAAGCGTGAAGGTGTGCAGGGCCGCAGCAGATGCAGTACCAGAGAGAGCAGACTCACCAGCACCTAGGGCAGCAGACTCACTAGCACCTAGAGCAGCAGCCACGATACCTGGGTCTGGAAGCATAGACAGGTAACAGTCACCCTCAGCACTAACAGACAATGCATACATGGCAGATAGGATAGCATCAAAGTCTAGAGCAAAGGTGAACCTCCTTGAGTCTCTGAGCATCCTACTGCCCTCCGACAGGCGTTGTCCCGTTGAGAAGAATCCCCCATTTAAATAATATTCTTTCCCGTAACAATTCTTCCCTACTTCTTGCCGTAGCTCGAATGCCAAAGGGAGAGCGCATGAAAATCTCACACATCTGCTTCCAGCGGATGCCCCGTCCTCTCCAGTGCGTAATGAGTTTATGCGCCTCGAAGGTATCCACCCCCATGGGTAAGTCTGCAGCCAGCGACCTAACTTCCTTCTTTAGCAGATCACTTCCCGTGAAAAATAATCACACCCTCCTCGCAGCCAAGCACATGATGACCATCTCTGGATCCCTACCCCCAATCCCCCCGGCCGCCCTGGACTTAAACAGCAACTCCCTACTCCAGAGTTGGAAACCCTTCGCAGCCGAGATGTCACCGAATATGCACTTCGTGCATATGCGGTAACACTTGGTGCGCGGGTGTAGATGCAAGTGTAGATTTAGGTGTAGTCTTTTGTATGATTACAATTCGAGGGTGAGTTACTGGGGGGTCTGGTGGGGTTGAGGCGAAGTTGTTGGGAAGGGTTAGAGTAAACATCGGGGGGTGGGAATCCAACGAACCAATCTGAAGCAACTGGCCCTTGCTGGAGGCGCACATTGAGAAGTGTGCGACCGAGCCAAGCACAGGTAAATTCAGTATCCTGCACCCTCTTGTTGCTTTTCTCCTACTTTTCTCTCATATTAGCAAAAAGTTGTCTCCTCAGATCTACCATCCGGTGGCATGCCACTATGGGAGGACCTACAAGGTGAGGGAGGAAACTCTTTCATGGTAGTGGCTGAGGCTAATCAACGACGTAAGGAGAAGGAAGGCAAGGGAGTGACAAGAAGAAGAGCAGGTTGCAAGGATGAGGCAATTCTCCAACAGAGACCCTGTTCCCGGAGATGAAGCCCTGGATCACCCTCATCAACTCCTCCCAGATAGCCGCCGGGGGAGAGTACACCTGGGCCTGGACAGCAATGATCGGTGTAACGTAGCTGTTCACCACCGTCGCCCTTGCCGAAGTTGTAAGATACTTCTGCTTCCACTTGACTGACATCCCGTTGATGTGCCCCAGCGCCTTCTCCCAGGTCAGCAGTCCATTGCCGGACGGAGTCACCCAGACGCCCAGCAGCCTCTCCGCATCATCCGCGCCAGCCCTCTTGAAGCCGCACAATGAGCCTCTGTTGACACAAGTGTTGACACCCCGAGGTAAGACCACCGTCTTGTCGGCGTTTGCTGCCAGGCCCGAGGCTTTCTCGAACTCGCTTAGCAGTTGCACCGCCCTGACAATCTGCTGTTTCCCCTGCAGGACGAGCATCATGTTGTCCGCGTAACTGAGGTAACCGAGCTGCTGCCCTTCTTTGCTCAGACCAAGCCTCCTACGCTCCACTTCCTGCGTCAACGGCTCCACAGCATACAGAAAGTGGTAAGGAGCCAGGGGGCACCCCTGACGGACCCCCAAGACCACCTCAAGCCCCTCGCCTAACCAACCGTTCACCAACAGCCGCGGATTGGTGTCTCTGTGCAGACCCTCAATCCAACACACGGACCGGTCTGGGAAACCCATCCTCCGGAGCACCTGGAAGAGGAAGCTGCGAGAGACGGAGTCAAAACCTTTTTGAAAGTCCACTAGAAGCAAGTGCCAGTCCTTACTACCGTTCCTCGCGGCCTCAATAATGTCAGCCACCAGCGACACCGGGAGAAAACTGTACTGCTCCGGAGAAATAACCTGATGCAGAACCGCCTTCATGCGGTCCGCTATCACCCGCGCAAGGACCTTGTAGGTAAATTTCAACAAGGTGATGGGGCGGTAATTGTTCGGCTGGTCTTTGTCCCCCTTTTTGTGAAGCAGGATCGTCACCGCTTCCTTGATTTCGTCGAGCAGTGATGACGACGCCTGGAAATCACGCGCCATGGCCATAAAGCTCCCTCCCAGCAGGTCCCAGTGAACCTCGAACAGCTCTTTCGGCAGCCCATCGCTCCCAGGGGATCTGTTTTTCGCCATTACTGCAAAAGCTCTCTTAACCTCCTCCTCTGTCTAGTCTGCTTCCAAGAAAGTCTCCAGCCCCTCCTGCAGACACCGGCACAGGGTTACCCTCTAGTTTGTGAAGTCCGTCCTGCGATCACGCCCGAAGATATTTGTGAAGAAAGCCGACGCGGCCTACAGCACCGCTCTAGACCCGCCAACCGTGGTCCCGCCAACATTCAGCTCCGCAATCTGTGTTCTCGCCTTCCGTGCGCGGACCTTAGCGGGGTGGTGCTTGGAGGCAATTTCCCCATTAAGCTCCGCCGTTAGACCGGCTTGCAAATGCAACCTGTCCCGCCTTGCTGCATGATACGCTTTAAGCTGCTGCTCCTTTTCCTCCAGAAGCACCTTCCTTCTTCCGCAACCAGGATCCCCCATTAACTCCTGCTTCAGAACTGCGACCGCCTTGTGCAGATGAGCCAGCGTGGCCTTCACCCGCTTGCCTTCCTCTCTTGCGTATGACCTGAGTCCAGCACTCGACCACGACAGCAGAAGCTCAAAACTGCTGCCGTCATTGACTGGTGTACGCCGCACCGTCACCTCGATAATTTTCCGGACCCCTGGCCTGCGCAGCATGGAGGCATGAAGCCTCCAGATCCCCGGCCCCGTGCAGACTTTTGCATCAAGCCGAAGCACCACGTGGACAGGTAAGGTAAAAGTGACTGTAAGATCAGCGCCCGATCAATGCGTGTGCTCTCCTACTGCGACGCTGAATAAAAACTGTACTCTCATTTGCGTGGATGCAGAGCGCAGAAGGCGTCGGAGAGCTGGAAGCTGCAGCAACGCAGGAAAAGCTTCTCATTCTCTGCCGACGAGCCGCTGCCAGAAGTCTTATCTAACGATGGATCTTCTATTAGGTTAAGGTTGCCGATTGAAAGGGGGTGAGACGACGACGGAATCTGGTCTACCACCGGGCCCTAGGCGTCACGAAGGAAGACCGCTCTTGAAGCCAGATCTGCTGGGAAGGAAATAGACGGCTATGAGCGTGAGATCAGAACCCACACCGCCGACCTTGGTCCTAACTGTTCTTCCAGACGAGTGCAATAACGTATCCTAGAAGGTGACCAGCGAGTTACGGCAAAGGATCGCATCTCCGCTGGCTCTAGACTGAGGATGAGGTGCAGAGGCAAGAACCGTAGTGGAGGTAAGGTTTGCGAGTAAGTTCCAGTTGGTGTGATTTGAAGCTATTCTAGTATCTGCTACTAAGAGCATAACATCTGCCGCTAATCTGTGCCAGTCAGTGACTCGTTCCTGCTTCTTCCAGTCTCCAAGGCCGTTAACATTAATGGCTGCAAAGGTGAGGTGGTTTTTGAGATTCATTTAACAGCCGACTTGCAGCCCCAGAGCATCCACAGGCTGGCAAGTAACAAGTGACCAACAGAACCGACTACCGACCGCAACCTAAACTCCGCTACACGACTCCGGCCACACGAACAGGTCAGAACCCGTACTCCTTCCGTATGGCGCTGAGATTCATCTTTTTGAGAGACTGCTTCGTGACCGTGCCAAACTTCTCCTGCTTCGCCGATGGAATAGGCTCCGAAGCGGTTAGAAAGCTCTTCCCTTTTACCTTCCCACAAGCAGAATGCGTACAAAGCCATCCCTCCCTGTTCCTTCCTGTGGAAATCGGTGCAATCGCAAGATTGCGAAGAATCAGTAGGATCAGGGAAGACGCGAGGAGGGAAGCAGCTGCGAGAAGCCACACGAACGTCAGTAAAAGAAAAAAGGCGAGCAATGATGACCGTGTTAAAGCGAACATCTCCATTACCGTTGAGACGATGCACTCCGCCCAATGTCAGGTTCCATTTACCAACATTATTTTGCCTCTCAGTAACAAACACATCATGATACTTATCATGATCATGTCCCGGGCAGATAGAGCAGGATAAGGCCGGATAATGGATCAGCAGCTTCTTCCCCCACTCCAGCGGGTTGCCGATCACTTGCTTCTGAGAAAAGTAGAACGAGAATGGATTGACTATGGAATGGAAGTGATACAAATATGCAACCCTAGAAGTGTGTACCCCATATGGGCTACCCCACTATAGCCTACAGAACATTATAATTTGACACACCCCCATAGGCAAAGTGGGGGAGAACAAGGGGTCACAAGACCAGTCAAGCAAAGCAAAGCAAGCTCAGGGTGGATCACAACGTCACCACACAATCCGAGCACAAGAGCAAGGCCACAAGGCCAGTTCACATGCAGGAGTGCACATATATATATAAGACTAAACAAGCAAGAGCAGGTATATATATATGTAAGAGTACAAGCAAGATCAAGAGGTGAGCAAGTGAGGCAAGACAGGCACAAGACCCAGCTGAGTGCAGAAGCGCTGATGATCACAAGGCGGAAGTGCCTTGGTGAAAACATCAGCAGTGTTGGCCTCAGAGGCCACGTACGCAAGTCGCAACTGACCACGCTGCTGCAGCTCACGAGCAAGAAAGTAGCGGAGATCAATGTGCTTTGTTCTATGCTCCAGGCGCTGCTCCCGACACAAGGCTAGCATGGCCTTGTTGTCTACGTACAGCACCGGAGGAGAATGAGGCGGCTCTCCGAGGTCAGTCAGCAGGTAGGTAATCCAGCGAAGCTCCTGTGCAGCCATGGCCCCGGCGTAGATCTCAGCCTCACAACTGGAGCCGAGAACAGAAGACGAGCGAGTAGCCCGCCACGAAACAGAGCCGGAACCAAGGCTGAAGGTGTAACCCTGTGACGACCGCTGCGTAGCCTGGTCGTCTGCCCAAGAAGCGTCCGCATGCCCAGTGAGGACCACTGGACTCCGCCCTCCAAGCACTAGCCCCATGCCCGACGTACTGCACAAGTAGCGCAACACCCTCTTCGCTGCAGCCATGTGCTCCGGTCTGTGTCTCCTAGGAGCAACATAGCGTGCAAGAATGCTAAGAGGGTATGCAAGGTCAGGTCGTGTGCAGGTCATCAGGTACATGAGGCAGCCAACAAGCTCTGGGTACGGGCCACTCGACTCTACGGACTCATCGGAAGGCAGAGCTGAGAGCGAGTGGCGAGTAGACAAAGGAGTGGCCTGAGGCGAGGAGTACGTGAAGCCGAAGCGCTGAAGGACCTATTGCACCATGTGTGACTGAGTCAGGGTAATGGTGCGGCGTGCTCTGTCCCGGGTGATCTCCAAGCCAAGGTAGCTGCGCAGTTCACCCAGGTCTGTGGACGTGTGTCTCTTTTGCAGCTCGGACTTCACGTGGGCGAGTCCAGCAGTGTCAGCAGTGGCAAAGATCAAGTCGTCGACGTACACGAGGATGTAGAACGGCGGCAGAGAGGTGTCGGTGCGTAGAAACAGCGACGGGTCAGCAGTAGAGGGAGCAAACCCAAGAGCCGCAAGTGTAGTCCTCAGTGTGTCGTGCCACTCGGGCGGTGCCTGACGGAGATCGTAGACAGGCCGTCGGAGGCTCCACTGGGTGCCAGGAGGGAAAGTCCCAGTGAAGCCAGGTGGACGGCGCAACCAGATCTCCTCGTGCAGGCTACTCTGCAGGAAAGCAGTGCTAAAGTCAAGGGAGTGAAGCTTGTAGTCACGCTGAGCGGCTATGTGTAGCAGCACCCGAAGAGTGGTCATCTTCGGGGTGGGAGAGAAGGTCTGAAAGTCGTCAACTCCCTGCCGCTGACTGAAGCCACGAGCCACGTACCGCGCCTTAAAGATAGGTGGAGAGCCCGGCGGCCGCTTCACCCTGAAGATCTACATGCCACTGACGATGTTCGCCCCAGGAGGGGGAACCGCGTCAACGTAGGTGCCTGTGGACTTCCACAAAGCCATCTCTGCATCCATAGCTGCCTGCCACTGAGAGGAGTAGGGACCCTCTACGGCCTCCGCGTAAGAGCGCGGAGTCGGGATGTCTAGTGCATCCGGGTCTCCCTCGGGGGTAAGCAGTACGGACGCGAGATGAGGTGAAGCAGCAGCCAGACACTGGAACTCCTCCTGCCTGTCCTCAAGGACGTCCGTGCCAAGAGCACACTCACCCCTGACGGACGGAGGAAAGACACACGCAGACTCAGCAACAAGACTAGCAGCGTAGTCTAGACGACAGCAAGCAGCAAAGTCGACGAGCTCAGCAACAAGAGCAAACGCGGCACTGGACTCAAAGGAGGGGTCAGTGACGACAGTAGCAAGGAGACGCGTGACAGTAGGACTGGCAGCACGAAGAGAGTGTCCGACTAAGGGTCGGCAAGCGCAGGAAGAGAGGACTCAGGAGGAGAGGGCAAAGGGGCACGCAGAGGAGCAGTGGACGGACGCAGAGACATCCGGTGCGTGCCAGGGACAGGAGGAGGACGCTGACGCGAACTGCGACCACTAGTGCGAGCAGCACGAACAGGCGACGCAGGACGAGACGCAGGCTCACGACGCTCAGCAAGACCTCCAGTAGGACCAGTGTACGGAGAAAGAGAAGGCAGTGGGGAGGCCGGCGGTAACTGGGACTGTGAGTGTAGAGGCGCTGGACACTCTAAGGGAGGAGGAAGACCAAGAACCTGCTGAAGGAGCGGAACAAAGTACGGCCGAGGCCGCGCGGCGACTCCACACACAGCAGAAACAGTAGCAGCACCCCCAGCGGCAGCACCAGCGTCAACAGCACCTCCAGCTCTAGGACCTCCAGCAGCACCAGCAGCACCCGCAGCCGGACCGCCGCCAGGACTGACAGGAGTAGCCTCAGCGCCAACACCCTCAGCAGCTCCGACTCCAGTAGCACTCGCAGGACTAGCACCTCCGAGACCGGCGGCACCAGCACCCTCAGCAGCCGAAGAAGCACCAGCTCCAGTAGTACGCCTCCAGCCCCTGGCAAACCACTCGTACAGCTCCTGTGGAGAGAGTGGCTCCCGCCGAGACGAAGCACCCGGAGAACCACAAGGCCCAGCACCGCTAGACGCCACACGAGCAGGTCTAGCGGCCGCGTGCTCCGCACCCCCAGGCTCAGTAGCTCCAGACTCAGCACCCCCATGCTCAGCAGCTCCAGACGCAGCGCCCCCAGGCAAAGCACCCCCAGGCTCAGCACCCCCAGGCTCAGTACCCCCAGTCGCAGCACCCCCAGACTCAGCACCCTGAGGCTCAGCACCCACGCGCGCAGCACCCCCAGAGTCAGCACCCCCAGGCTCAGCACCCGCAGCAGTACTAGAGTCACCAGCAACCTCGACCGGCTCGATTGCATCTACCTGGGACACACCTGAAGGGGCAGGACACTGAGGGGGGAGGGGGTCCACCGGGGGGGGACCTGGCACAAAGAAATGCGGTGGCGGGGGGAGGGAAGGAGTGCGGTAGGGGAAGAGGCGGTAGTAGGGGACAGACTCGTCGAACGTGACGTCCTGGGAGGACAGAACACGACGAGAGGTGGGGTGGTAGAACTGCCACCCAGGGGCGTCAGGGGGGGAGCCAAGGAAGACACAAGGAGCAGCACGAGGGGACAGCTTGTCCGCAGACAAGTCGCGGACAAACGCCCGAGATCCCCAGACAAGGAACGCAGACGCATCGCCGACCTTCCCCGTCCACAGCAAGGCTGGGGAGGTCTCCGGCCTGGAGACCCTGGGGTGAAGTTTGATCTGATGCGCCGCGTACCGAACC